AAGCTACAAATAGCTTTCTCTACCTAAATTAATCACATTAATTTAAAACAATCAAAAGGAAATCCTGCAAACCCCTCACCGCCCCCCCCCCCCACAATTAACTCTTTAGTCAAAGGAGAAATACAAAAGTTTAAGCACAACATATCAGAAGTTTTAGGATATAAGTAATGCAGTCATTAAAGCAGTAAAAATTTAAAAATATATTAACTAAATATACCATACTCAATGCTAACAACTTAAGGAAAAATCGGATGTTAAATACAAAAATTAATCAAAAAACAAAGAACAGTAGAGTTAATTAGTAAACACAAAATTTAGTTCTTAGAAAAACAATTTTTTGGTAACCTGACAGCATTATCTTTCTATCCATAAATGTGGAATATTTCTTCCAATTTATTTAGTTTGGATTTATTTCACTGAAATTTTATAGTTTTCCTCATAAAGATTTTGTATATATTTTGTCAGATTTATGCTTAAGTATTTCTTTATTGGTGGGGTGGTAATGTAAATGGTAATGTCTTTTTAATTTCAATTTTCAATGTATTCATTGCTTGTTCATTGTAATAGAAGAATGATAGATGTTTATTAACCTTGCATGGTGAAACCTTGTTATAATGGCTTATTAGTTGCAGGAGACTTTCTTTATATTCTTTCAGATTTTCTAAATAAATGACTATCATCTATGGGGGAAAAATTTTACATATAATTAAAACAATATAAAAGGTTGAAAGCACACACATAATGAGAATTACAATSAACAGTCATTAAAACAAAAGAATAGCATCTCCTGGGAATTTCTATCAAAATTTTAAAGACAAGATGATCCAAATGCTAATTGAAACATTTTAGGACAGTAAATATAAGGAAAACTAGAAAATTTATTTTCTAATTTGAGTATATCACAAGGAACAATGAAAGACACATATCAATTCAACTATTAATATTGATGACAAATTTTAAAAAGAAAACAATTAGCAAAGAACATCCCAGAGCATATTGTTAGGGGACAGACAGATGAGGATGGTGGGAAAAAGATGAGAATAATTCTATGAAGTGGGACTGCTCTTCTGCCCACCACATGCATTCTTTGCTAAAAAGCAATTTACCTGCATCCCTGCCTGGCCCAGGTAGACAGGATATGTAACATTCCTTAGTAAACTACCTATTACCTGCAGATGAAATGCAGGCCTGAGATAATGTGGATGGGAGGAACCCAGGAGACTTTGGTGACCAGATCCTGATACTCAAAGATATAAGAATAATTCCTTATAACCATAAAATCTGTAAGAATGTATGATTAAGAACCCAATTAGAACAGGTCAACATGGGTCAAAATGATCTRCAGTTGCCATGGCAGTGGGTACTTACGTCTGATGTCATCTTGCCAGTCAGTCAAAAGTCAAGAGATAGACCTGGTCAGGACTCTCTGGAAACTTCTCTTGGATCCCCAATAAAATTGGAGTATAGGCGAGGCACCTTGTCCCTCTCCTCTCTGAGAACCTGCTCTCTCCCTTGAGAGCATCTCCTTTGAAAATAATAAACCCCAGAGAGAAAAGAAAAACAATGGGCTCTGGGCTTTCACAATTTCCCATATCTACAAACTGTTTCCCTGACTGTCTGACCAACATATTCTGCTATGACTTAGTCTCACCCATCTAGTCCTATAAAACTCAGACTCCTATCGTAACCAGTTGCCATTTTCCTCTTGAAAATGTGCCCCTCTCTGCTTAATAAAGCATTCATGATCTGTTGAGGTCTATCTCCATTCCTTTTTCTTTCTCTTTCATTTGCTCTCACCCTGTCCCTATCCCTTCAATAAACTCACTCCTATTACTCTGAGACACAAGTCTGAAATCGTTCTGACTTGATAACAAGAATTGGGGTTTGAAGGGTGGTTCTTTGAGGTGCCTCAGTTTCCCAGAAGGCCTCAGCTCTGTAACGATATTACAGACTGATTCAAGTGGAGCCATTAATGCTTAGTGGTTCAATGTATGAAATCTATTCATATAACCTGTCATATTAGAAGAGAAAAATTATATGATTGCCTCCAGAGATACAGAAAATGCATTTGAAAATAATTCAGTACTTGTTCATGTTTTAAGAATCCTGAAATAGGAATTAATGAATAGTTCCTTAATATTATCATGTGCTTCATATTACACAATGATATATGTATACATACCTTTCCATCTCAGAACTAGAGTTTCCCCTGTTGAAGAAATGAAACTTCTCTTAAATCAAGAACAAGACAAAGATAACAGATAACTTTAATGACTGTTATTGTGTGTTGGAAACAATGAGCACTGAAATTAACAAAACAATAAAAGTATAATAATTGAAAAGAAAAGGGCAAAATGATGTCTAATGTAGATGATATGATTAAATAGCCAGAAAATGAAGAGAAACATTTGGGAAAATACAATAGAATAAGATAATTTCTTATTCCATTCTGGTCCTGTTTTTTTTTTTTTTTTTTTTTTTTGTTAACTTCTATGTATTTTTGGCTTTCCTGACACAGACTGAAAATGAGGTGGGGGCATGGTTGGGGATAGGCTCTGAACTGAGAGTAACTTCCTCTGGTAGATAAAAGGAAACAAAAGCACTACAACCTCCATCTTGACAGGTACCAAAGAAGCACAGAATGGAGACTGTCCCCTTAAACCTGTCTCACACAGGATTATTAGGCATATATACATTTCCTGCCTTTGTTTCGTTTTTCCTTTTTTTCCTTACTGTTGTCCTTCCTCCCCTGCTTCTTCTTTAAAAAGTTCTCAATTTCATGGATTTCAAATGTGGAATATTTTGAAACAGTTTTCTTGTTTCTTCAAAGCTGAGTCTGAATAAAACCTATTTTCCTACCAATTGGACTCTGAATATATCATGGAGCAGTTAGCATTGTGGCCTACCCCATTCCTCCACAGATGGTATCAGAGTCATTCTGTAACACTCTGTTTACTAAAGTTCAAAACTSTGGTGTCATAACAATACTATTAATCCCACTTGTGCTTTCACAATCTGCTTCTATTTTATATTTTGCCAAGAGAACCCTTATCTAAGCARTTGCTAAGTCATGTACATTTTGTCTTTGAAATGTCCATTCTAGCAATCATCTTTTTTTCTGTTCCATTGCCAACACTCTCAATTGTTTACCCTTCTCATATATCTTATCAATGGCTGGCTGCCTACTTGCTTGGTGAGGCTACTCTTGTTTAATATGTAAATTCCTTGATATAAAGTCCCAACTTCATGACCTGTTTTTCTAGAGTGGGCCCTTATTTTAGGTTTCCAGATATACTTCTGCCTAATCTTTTAATAGCACATTGTTTAGCTGGACCAGACTAATGGGTGTTTCTTATATGCCTGTACTTGCAACGCAGTATATTTTGGAATGTTCATTACCATTTGTAACAAGCATCCTTTCTCTAAGTTACTCTATGAGAATAATAATGTGTGTTAACGTTTAGGCATTGTGTTAAATATTTAGTATATATTGTTTTGTCCTATATCCACAGATGGGGCCAAGTGCAGTGGTGCATTCCTGTAACCCACTTAGGAGGCTGAGTTAGGAAGATCCAGTTTGAGCTGCATCAGAGACTTAGGGATACCCTGTCTCAAAAAAAAAAAAAAAAAAGGAATGGGGATATAGCTCAGGGGTAAGTGCTTTATTTAATTAATTTATTATTTAAGCTATGTGAGGTAAAAAATGATATTAACACATATCTCTTTATCACTTGCACCACARTTGCCATTCAATAGACATTTGCTATATTGCATATATGGCTGCCTGAAAGATAAAAATTAATATTAGAAACTCAACCAAGGATCTCTCAATTTATAGTGAATATGTTTTTCATTTCTTAGCAGTATTCCATTTGAGCAGGGGCTTTGCCTTATTACTGCTGTATTCTCAAGGCTTGGAACTGTTCCTGGCACATGCTAGGCAATTACTAACAATTCTACTTGTATGGCTGTAGGAAAATTAACTGGTAATGAATGATGCAAAGAAGCAAAGGCTCAACAACAGACAACATAAGCCAGGATCAGGTTTAGATCATGTTTTTGGTTTATACCTATCATATTCTATAAAAGGTTTTCTTAACTATTTATGGTTCATGGTTGCAAATTTAAAAAAATTAATTATCCTCTGAATCCCATTTTTATAATTGCAAGTTCCTTGCTGTGAAGGGAGCAAAAGTATTGGTAGATAGTATATACAAGGTCAAGAATTGGCCCAGTCTGAACCCTAAACCCCTTTAAGTATTGGAAATGTGATAAATCAATCCGTTACTTATTATTAACTTTACGTTGTTACAGATTATGCTGTATAGCAATTCCATAGCTATTATTTCCTTTGAGCCCAAGCCTAGAAAGGTTACCTTTCAGTAATCAGAAATTTCTATGTTAAAATGCAAATATTTAAAACTGGTATCACGAACCCTTAGTTTTTAAAACAGCTTTAGCAGTCTGTAGAAACAAAACATTAACAAGAATTGGACCAAGGTTGAAGGTGGAAAGCAAAGGAGCGCAATGACGGTGTACATGTGACTGCTTTAAGGGACCTGGGCAGCCTCCCTCCAGAACCTCCCAAAAGGCTAACTTTGACCAGCTTTGATAGAGCTGGGAGAGGACCAAGCGTTTTGTACAGACCTGCTTCCAAACACGACACATAAGAACAGACTCCAAACCATCTTGGCTTGCTGCTGTTTTTAACTTAAAATGAATAGCACTCAAGCAACCAAGAAGCTGCAGTCCCAAACCACCTGACACAAGAATCGAGAAAAGAGGGTGGGCTATTTCCTCCGTGGAACTAAAGAAGGGAACTGACAACTGGAGGAGGCGGGTCTGATTTGGGACCCCGCCCTCTCCCTGCTCATCTCTGATTGGTGGCAGCGTTTGGAGGGGCGGTTTCACAGACRAGGCGCTCCTGATGGCGCGGTCCCTCCCGCGCGGTGGGTGTGTCGCGGTGGGCGGGTGCGCGCGCGCTCGCGTCGGAGGACCGGAAAGGAGGCGGGGCCGCGGCTGCGCGCGCTCCCGGAACGTGCGCACCGCAGGCGGCGCGGATCGCAGGTCCGCTGCCAGAACCGGACCCCGGGTGCCTGTGTGGCGACAGGGCTCCTGAGAGAAGGTCGCGATGAACACGGTGCTGTCACGGGCGAACTCCTTGTTCGCCTTCTCGCTGAGCGTGATGGAGGCGCTCACCTTAGGCTGATCATCACCACCGCCTTCAAAGACAGGAGTGTCCCGGTGCGGCTGCACGTCTCGCGGATCATGCTGTGAGTGCGGCCGAGACTGGGGCTAATGGGGCAGGGCACCTGGACCCGGCCTGGCGGGGGCCGAAGCCGGGCCGAGGAGCGAGGGACGCCGGCAGGACTACCGCGCCTTCCCCAGGGTCCCCTCGGGAGCAGCCATTCACCCCTAAGGCAGATGTCCGGGGCGGACTTGCGGGCTCCCCCGGTTTTCCCGGCTTCCCCTCGAAACTCGCCCCCCTCCGTCGTAAATTCCCGGGCTTGCTCTTAAATTTTAATTTTGAGTTGCTCCGGTCGGTGCCTCCGCTTCCTTCCTGTTCCTCACTTCCCTCACCCACGCCTGGCCAATGAGGGAGCAACACAACAGCAAACCCGCGCCGCCGCCCGGGCCGCCGCCTCCCGCGCGTCCCGGGGCCGGTGGGTCCTCACACGTCCCGAGGTGCTGCCGCCGCGCGCGGGTCGGCGTCGGGCCTGGCTCCGGGCTCCGTTACGCTTGGGGCTGAAGCAACTTGCAGGGCGGCTTTCTTGCCATCGATAACTGGAGTTTGTCCTGTTTGACATTCCCTTTGCAGTTTTTGTCTTTCCACCTTCAGAACGCAATAAATACTTGGAGCAGCTTGGAAGTTAGGACGGAGGTTAAGATACACTGAGAGAATTTTGAACATCTTAGMCTTCTGATTCAGCCTATTCTTGTTTTTCTAATTTATTTGCATTTTCTTTAAGCAAAACTTTGCTTGAATAAATCTGCGAAGACGTCAAAAGTAGAATTTTGGAATCACAGTTGCATTTCTTTATTGCCTATTTTTTTTCTTTTGTATTTTTACTTTAAAATTCTCCACCACTTTTGTCTTTGATTTGTGACATTTTTGATCTTAATACTCAATTATTCTATTYCATTTACTAACAAGATCTGTCTCCTTCTGCAGCCTTAGTTTAATTTCATTGTCAGATTCACTAACAAGTCAGTCATCTAATAGTGACTCCCCCCCCCYYTTTTTTGTTAGATACTATTCTAAATTCACATAGACCTGGGTTAGAAGTCAGCACTGCCATTAAGGTCTATGAGGGCTTAGAATGTGTTTGAAACATTGAATAAATGTTTGGTGTTGAGAAAGTTTCTTACTCTTCTGAACCTTAATTCCCTTTTATTCAAAATGAAGGTAATRCCTAATTATGAAAATAATTATGAAAATAATTTGAGGTAATTGTGAAAAATACAAAGTGGATTAGACATGTGGTAAAGCACTCAAGAAAGAGCAGCTGTTATTTTAGTTTTCCATACTGCCTTGTAGTCATATGTAATCTTGAATCTACTCATCCTCCTGCTGTCACCAGTATTTAAAGAGTCTCTCTCTCTCTYTTTTTTTTTTTAGCAGTTCTTATGTCTTCCTTTGTTTATTAGAGATTTCTTAAGGTATTTGAAAATAATTGAAGACATTTTTTAAAATATTGAATTATAATATTTACCCTGTTTTCACACTAAAGATTTCTCTGGTTTTTACTTKTTTCTTTGTGGAATTGCTGTTCTACCTGTATACCAACTAGATCTTTAAATTATTATGTGAATAGTGTATGCCTTTATTATGAAGGATGGTAAAACTTTTCTCTTTACTTCTAGAAAAAATGTAGAAGACTTCACTGGACCAAGAGAAAGAAGTGATCTGGGATTCATTACATTTGATATAACTGCTGATATCCTTTAAGGAAATATTTATTTTCTTTTTCTGTAGTTTTGTAATGAGAAACATGTTACTTAGAGATTTGGGGGACAGTGAGTACCACCCAGTTGAGTCAACCAAACTTTGGAAGAAATCCTGTCACATATATTTTCATCAGCTAAATAGTTTTAATACTCGTTCATACTTAGAGAAAACTGTRGATTCATGAGTTTGTTGTGTGTATGTAATTTTAAATTCTTCCTTAAAGTGATTGCAATCTATGCATGAATCTCTTTGTGAAAAAAAATTAATAAAATTAGATCATTTGAATTAAAGAAGTAAAAATGTTATCAGAGCTCAGTCTGCCTGAAATATTTCATGTACAGTCTCAAAGAATCCATATCTTACGATAGAGGAGAGAAACATGTTTAAAAAGTGAATTACATTTGTAATGGTTCAAATGGCTGTTATTGAAATGAATGTTGTTAAATCATGTTAACATTTTGTTATTGTAGTTCTTTTTATAAGTACTGGTAGAACAGTCAAAGAAATCTTAATGAAAAGAATGACTTTAAGGGGATGGTTTAATTATTTTCTCCTAATCCTGAGTTTCCATCTCTTAACAACTCTGGTCATTGCTTATATGTAAATATATTGGCAGTGTTGTTCTCTGCCATTTCTGACCTGATCCTATCTGCCTTTTAAGACCCATGATTTAAAATGGTCATGGAGATTGAACAGTCTGAACTTGTGTAGAGCAACTATCTGAACAATTGAAGCAGATAATATGCCTGGGGAATTTTTCTTCAGTTCCTACTATCTTGGAATTCCTTTTAATTTTTTAGAAATGACTGRATTTATAAGTAGACTAGGAATTAGTTTTCTAAAGGAACTTTTTTAGGAAGTAGAATGTGCCATCAGGCAAGTCTTACTCTAAACTTTGTGTGCTTTTAAGTCTTGACATCATTTAAAAAAAAAAAAAATCTATTCAGGCAGTGTAGATCTRGTATGAAAGTAGTCATTTTGTGTATCTGGAGAATAACAGTGAAATTTTCTGATATCTTCACTATATGTTACCAATCTCACTATTTATAGTTTATTTGGGTTTTCTTAATGCTGCTGAAAACACTTGAAATTGTAGCTGTTATTRTAAAGAACTGTCCTAGACTTCTCAATTCCAAACAAGTAATTCTTAGTGGCTACACATAATTAAAAGTAGAATGTGATAAACCTGTTGCTATAAATATATAAATATACATAATAAAATGACAATTTACATATGATATTTAATAAAATACAAATATAAAACTCTGCTCATGTGGAGGTACCAGTATGTAGTTTAACTCTAGTTAAAAGTGTACCTCCTTCCCCCAGGCTGAATGGTACCTAGTTAGCAATCATTTGCTTCTTACCAAAGCACTTTATGTAGACATTTTGATTTCTATGGACAYGTAACAAAAGGAACATACATTTTACTGTACTTGGCTAATAACTTGAACTTAGTTCATGTTTGCATATTGTTAAATAGTGGTGATTTGGTTATACTTTAGAGCTCMAGTATTTCATGAATGTCCATGAAATAATAATTCATCTTTCTTTTGGACATAGTGGGTTAATATTAGAAATCTAAATTTTGGATTTTTTGTTATTTTCTTGTTAATCAAGGTATCTTAGCTAGTAATCCTTGCAGGAGTAGGGGAGCATGCTGACCTTACATTCTTTTTTGGCTTTGGAATGGGTTGGGTTTTATAAAATATTTATCCACTGTATTATTAAATTAGTGACTCAGTATGTTTCTGGACCACCTCTTCTTTTTTTCTATTTTAGTGTTAGTATTGCTGTGGATAATTAATTGAAGATAACAAAGATCTTTTAAAAGCTGTGTGYTTCCTTCTGTCTTGTGTATTCCTTAATTTGTTTACATTTAGAGAATATATTTGATTGGAACGTTAAGCAGTTGTTTCTTTATTTATCAGCAGAATATTCAACAAAAAATAATGTAAGTATATGTATTTAAGCATTTTTTTAAAATATTTTTTTAGTTGTTGATGTACCTTTATTTTTTTCATTTTTGTGTGGTGCTGAGAATTGAACCCAGTTCCTCACATGTGCTAGGCAAGCGCTCTACCACTGAGCTACAACCCCAGCAATTAAAGCATATTTTAATAGTTACTTAAAACCTTATTCTTTATGCACAACAAATAGAGATGTTCATATATTAAAAATATCTGACCTGCATAGCTTAGTAAACACAACCATATGGAGAGGTGACTCTGCTAAGAACATTTTCTCTCTGGTAGCCTCTTTTTTTTTTTTTTCTGTGTGTACTGTAGCTCCTTAGCATTGTGGCTTCCAAAATGGTGTGTATGCACAGTAATTGATAGGTATATAAGGGATATTAGCGTTTCTGTTATGTATTTCCAAATTAAAATTAAACAGAAAAATTTAAGCTGTATTAATAGTTGCTTTGCAAACTCACATTAATACTTATTCAGTCCTTATCAGATGGTCACATGCCATGGARATATTCTGGAGGAAGAGAAGGAATTCTCAGTGCCCAGAGGTTGACCGTACTACCTAATATATTCATTTATTCACTTTTAGCATTTTACAAAATATTGTAGTATATAGGGGATTGTATTATTAAGTTCTAAATAATTGCTATTAAATAGAAAAATAGCTAAAAAAAAATGTCCTGCAAAGAAAAGAAAGATTGAAGATAATGCTGATGTTCCAACACATTAATAATAGGAAAATGGTAGAGCCCATATGTCTGTTCTGTTTTATCTGTTAAATCATGTTAAAGGATTAAAACAAAACAAAAAAAAAACCCAAAACACCTCAGTAAACTAATTAAAAGAGGAGAGAATTCCATTAGTTAAGATTATTTGAAATGAAAATTTGCATTWACTGTCAATGGTAAATAGTAGATGTATATTATATACATAAAAAATAAAGGGCATGGCTTAGTTTATGCTCAAAGTAATTTATGATCAAAAACTCTTGTAGACTATTAGTGGTAAGATGAGAAATGGTGGTGCTTAACTCTGAATTACATATGAAATGAGGAAGTACTAGTGCTGCTCAGCTATATGTTCTTTAAGCTGAATGTTCTTTTATCCATAGTTGAGAACAGAAAGCTACTTGACAACATAAATAAATCAACAGAATTTGAGATCTGCTTAAAGCTTTCATTATGAAGATAGGTAATCAATACCTGTGAAGATTACTAAAAATTTTTTAATCATCTGAGATTATTTAAAAATGTATCCTAGTACCAAATATTTGTATTTTCTTTTTAAAAAATCTATGATAATGAGCTGCTTTGGTAGTGTTAATAAATCATATATCTTCAATTAATATCTCTGCTTATTGAGAACTGTTTTCCTTTGTTTTGGAATTGTATGAAATTCATCAATCTGAGTACTTGAAGTAGTCTTTATAGTTTATAATAAATTTTATAATAAAACCTATTAGGGCTAGAGTTGTAGCCACAGTKGTTCAGTGGTAGAGCGCTTGCTTGGCATTTCTGAGGCCCTGGGTTCAGTTCTYAGCACCACATAAATAAATAAAACAAAAGATCCATTGACAACTAAAACAACAACAATAACAACAAAARCTATCATACTATTAGATAAAACACATCAAAATGATTTATTTTGTGATTGAAGGTGATAAGTTCAGTCTGATTTAGCACTCTGTTGCAGGTTAGGGTAGGCGTTAGGATATTTATATAGAATCTTGTTAAATCTTCTTAGGTTCTATTTTTAGTATTGATAACGAAGGTATAAAGTTGTAGACTGAAAATATGTAAGCAAATATAGGAATTATAATGTTGCTTATATGTTGTTGAGTTTCTTTTTTTTTTTTTTTTTGGTTCTAGGGATTGAACTCAGGTGATTTAACTCTGAGCTACATCCCCAGCCCTTTTCTATTTTTTGAGACATCCTCTCGATAAGTTGCTTAGAGCCTCTCTAAGTTCAGGCTCATCTGGGGCTTGTCCTCTTGTCTCAACCCTTTGAGTTGCTGGGATTATAAGGATATTCCACTGCTCRTGTCTTAAGTATAGTGGTTTTCACAGATTTTCATCAGTGTAGGCTAGAGATAGATTGTAGTTAAAGATTGGTCTGTGTTTTATTTGAACTGTATTTGTTTTCAAGGAAAATATATATTAATTAGTTTAATCAGAATTTTTAGCACTTCAATTAATTATACACTTATTTTGAAAATAACAGGTGTTTCCTTAGGCTGTGGGAMTATTGGGATGAAAAAGTTTTGATTCTTGTCCTTCAGCATCAACAAAATGTATAGTTGCTACTCTGATAAAGAGTAGCAACTATACACAAATATTGACAGGTTTCAACAAATTGTTGAAATAACTGTAACCTTTATGATTAATGTACCAAAAATATATTTATAATCCTGGCTTACCCTAGCATAACTAGTAGGAAAATGCTAATTTGGAACTTCCCCAGCATCCCTGGGCCCTTTATTTTTTATTTTGAGACAAGGTCTTGTTAAGTTGCCAAAGCTGATCTTGAACTTGTTGTTGTCCCACCTTATCCTCCCAAATTGCTGGGATTACAGGCATGTGCCACCAAGCCCAACTATTTCTTCAATCATAATGATTTTTAATATTTTTAATATTAGAAAGAGGTTTTAAGATGTTGGTTTAAGCCCTGTTTTAGAAATAACTTCTCTGTATTTCTTTTCAGTTAAGGTAGTCATAACATATTGAGCATTCAGCCTCACTAGTTGATGGATGATAGCTTCCATGAGGACAAATTCCTTGATATTTAGTAGGAGTGACAAGTTTTTTCTTTCCATTTTATACTCTTAATTTTTGTGGAACTTGGTTGTAATACATTGAAATAAAGTGGCTTTAAAGAATTATCTGATATCTAGAATTTTGCCATGATAAAACAGTGATGCACATTTTATTGTAAAGGGGGAAAAATGTTATGCATTCATTACTTTGGTGTTTCCTTGATAATTTTAAGTTCTTGAAGATTCATCCATTTTCCTGACATCATCTCATGTTAACTGGGATTAGCTCACTTTGTTTTCTCAGTATCATCCAGGGTCCACTCTGAGATGGACAGTATAAGAAATTTCACATAGAAAAGAGATTTAAAAGAATATTTCCTATCCAAGGATTCTAAGGACATTGCTTTTGGAGAGCATATAGATATTGAACCTTTTAGTAAGATCTTAGGGCCTTATATAATAGAGTTGACTGAGTAAAAGGAATGATTTCCTTAGGGAAATAATTTTTCTCTCCATGAAAAGTTTGTCCCCTTCTTTATATTATCTACTAGTACATATTTGGTATGCATCAAGATTTTAGCAAGTCTGTTCAAGTTGGGTTCCTTCATATGTGAAATTATTTAATTATTAATACTTTTAAATGATAAGATGCTGTTTCTGATGAGTTACCTAATTAATTTTCATTTTAATGTAGGCTCTGAACCAAGTTGTCCTCTGGGACAAGATTGTTCTGAGAGGTGATAATCCGAAGCTGCTGTTGAAAGATATGAAAACAAAATATTTTTTCTTTGATGATGGAAATGGTCTCAAGTGAGCACTTTTTAATTTTTTAACATTTAGTAAAATGTGAAAGAGAAAGATGTAATGTGTTTTCATTTTAAAAAAATATTAGAGGGTTAAAAGGAAAATTGGGAGAGAGGTATTTATGTAGCGCTGAATGGAAGATTGGGAAGAAATATAAATTGGGATCTAAGATAAGTAATTTGTTCTCTTGCAGTTTGTAAAATGTAATGGTCAAAACTAATAAAGGCATACAGCTTCTACTCTTACGTGTACAGGGAGTATAGGATTACTTATATATAATAAAGCTGTGATTGTCAAATTAAAGGTCACCTTTATAAAYATAAGTCAGAGAAACCTTAAATGAGAAAGCAGTGCATTGGGKCTCGGAATTGATACTCAGGTTTCTAATATTGGTTCTCTTGGCTTTTCTAAACTTCTGTTGCTCTCATAYAAAATGAGGGAATCAGTGATTGACCTCTCAGGACATTTTTACTTCTTACATTTTCTGAGGTATTATCAGAAAGAATTTTAAAAGAATTTTAAAACCAGACCTACATATTTACAAATAAGAATTTCAGATCATAATACATTTTGATTTGCTCCAGTTTGTGAAACTAGATAATGACAGAATTAGGCTTCAAATCATTGTCTTCTGATTCCTAGCACAGGTCTCATTTTATATTCACTGTGTTTCTTGCATGTAAGCTTTTTAGTTGTTATTAACTGCAGTTGTGAATAAGTTTAGATTGTTTTTTAAGGGATTCAATGAAATGTAATTCAAATGTAATGCTGGTGTCTTTCAGCATTGTCCTTAGATTTCAAGTGAGAAGAGAAAATAGTTCTGTTTACAGATTAGAATTCCTGTTAGGAATAACTAGTTATAAAATATTTGACACCTCAGTGCTTGTTTTAAAATGTTTTTATTGAACTATAAGTGTTTCTGCTGACTTCTGTTTATTATATCTTTTTATAGGGGAAACAGGAATGTCACTTTGACCCTATCTTGGAACGTTGTACCAAATGCTGGAATTCTACCTCTTGTGACAGGATCAGGACATGTATCTGTCCCATTTCCAGATACATATGAAATAACGAAGAGTTATTAAATTATTCTGAATTTGAAACAACATATTTTTATACTTAATGAATTATATCTCATTTATCTCTTCCCTTGCACCTTCATTTGTTTTGGGTTGTTACTTTGTGGGTTTTTTTTTTTTTTTT